TAACCCTATGTAGGTAATAATGACGTTATACTCTGCAGTGCCTCACCCATGGTTATTATTTTATTTTCTAGAAATCATTTAGTTTCATTTATCAGTACTTAAAAATGATATATACTTCAAATTTAAATACATTATTTATTTTTTTGTGTGTGATGTATAATAGTTATACACAGTTAATCATTTATAATCTCAACAAAAGTCTTCGCTGTTATATCCGAATAAACAAATAAACGTCATATCATAGCTTTACATGTATTTATATTATTCCTATAAAATAAAAAGTAACTATATTTCATTTTATTTAATTTAAAAAAAATATTACTACCTACGTTATCGGTAAACACCTTATCTTGTCAACGTTGTTGAATGTGTTTATATCAATGTTACACTAGGTATAATAGGTATATAAAATATAACCATACGTATACAGTATAACGAGTAAATGTATACACGAAGTTAGTAAATTTTAAATTTTAAGTCTGCAGACTTCAATTCTAAGCCTCCCGTGTTTTGAGGAATTTCGACTTTTATGTTAGGCATTCGACCAATAGGAAGATTTAATGTTTTTCATATTAAAAATTATATAGCATGATATAGGTACAATATTATAAACATTGAAATCCATATGGAATTAAATACGAGTAATCTGATATGCCCATTTATTTCTCACGATATATTTTGTTTTATTCGCCTATTTAATGCAGTGTGGGTTAACTAAATTAAAAACGCGTGTCAATGATGCCTACTAAAAAACGTTCATTGCCAAGAATAGTATAATTTATTAAGTACTTGTCAATACTTACACTTTGGTTTTTACCAATATCCAATGACCATTAAATGAATGACCTACTGATATTAATTGTATGTAAATGTATCATAATTAAAGTCATAGGAGTATCTCAGTATCCGATTACTGTAAAGGTAGAGCATCGGTAGGTTAGGTTAGGTATTCGGTATTCTTAGGTATCAGCTGCTTTACTCGGCAATTGGTTGTTATTGTTTTTATGACGTATGATTATGATTTGTGTAATAGGATCTTTCACTGTTTCTTCAGTTTCTTGTTTGAGACTTCTAAGCAGAACTTGTAAGGAAACATTACAAGTAAATTTTATTGAAACACTAACTCGTTTGTCAATATATACAATTCTTTACACATTGTAAAGAATTCATATTAGTTTAAAACAAACATGACATTAGGCAATATCTATCCAAGGTAAAAAATTTAGTATCAACACTATAAGTGACACATCGGTATTTAAATAAATACGTTTTTTTGCATACCTTTATAGTTTAAAAGAAATAATATTTAAAGTATAGTGATATGTCTTTACAATATTACAAATATTACAATGTTACAATTAATAATAAAATAATTTTCTTACTCAGTAGGTATTTATCTGAAAATTATAAGGTTGTTTAAAATGCAATTAGCTTACATTATGTAGTGATCGCTGTGCAGGCACGATGATCGGTACTGCAATAATTATATTATTTAACAACGTACCTAACACATTCGCTACAATCTTGAGACCTAATCTAACCTGTAGAAGCTGATCATGAAATCGAATATACATTTTGTATATTAATTTACGTCTGTATATACAAGGATCATTTGCATACATAACTTTATGCTCCTCTTTATTAAATCGTGTGTCTCTACTCTCTACTAGATTTAATAATCTACCGCGCTAATTATAATATCCTAATTCGATTTCACAATTAAGTTTCAGGGTACGCGAATTTTCTTGATGAAAAAAATTAAACCATTGTGTAGGTATTTGTGGTGTCGTAGCATTATATGTTCAATATACCACATTGAACGATATTTAATTTGCAAAATATATTCTTATCACTTGACCCGCGGAATAACATAACACACAGCTTATCGTGTTTACATAAATAATTACGTATGAATGTCTCGTTCAATGTTTACCATTTGGACTTTAAGCTGTTTGCGATTATTACATCTTGGTTTAACGCGTGTTTTTTAATAGCTACAAAGTTAGAGTATATTATCTCATCATCAGCTTTAATCTATAACACACAATTACTGCGCGTATGTATGATAATTGGTTCGATTTTGTTCTCCTCTATAGGTTCGGATATAATTGTATAAATTATACAATAATTACGGGGTATACCCTTAATCCTAATCTTTATTACCTTTTAAAAATTATGTCTGAAATCCCTGCTTCTGGTAAAGGAGAATCATCGCATACAATATCTAATTTTATGTTAAATTTTTTATTCTTAATAAACATGTCGACCAACACAGTACCTATTGTTAAAATTGTAGTGGCACTTATTCCCTAAATATGACGTTTTCCCGTCTCGTTAACTACTATGTGTTCCTTTAGAATTTATATTTTTTAGTCAGTAGATAGGTACTTACCTGCAATTTATCAGTAAAGCACGATTGAGCATAGGATATTTTATACGACGTTGTCACATTCACATTGTCGAAATTTTGTAATTTATTATTTTCATGTATTATTACACCAATTATTTTGATACCAAACGCATTAAGCCGAGCCCTGCTCTATCGACAATGTTACTGATTAATAAGTTATAGATGTATATTTTTGATAATTATCACTAGAGAGTAGAGACAATACAATTTGCCATTAAATTAATAAAAAATAATAATAAGTAATTTTTAAAATAGTATTACAAAATAGTCATATGCCTATATGTATATTTAACATGATAAAAATTAATGTTAAAATAACTTAAGTGAAATGTTTACTATCAAATAATATAACAATAATTTTATCAGAGACGTTAAAATCTTACCATATTTTGAATTATTATAGTTATTTRAATAAATATTTTTGTATAATATATAGTTTAAAATTTAAAATTACAACGTTACAGTGTTTTTTATGGACAATCRTGTTGTAGTTCATTTTAGAAGATTGTTTAGAACGCAATTAATTTAGATAACTGTTAAATATATTTTGTTTTTTTGATAACTAAAAATGAAATAAATATGTTCAAATGTCTAACTATACATTATAATATGACCTATCCACCTACTTGCCATGTGAATTTCATATATTCAAAATCATGCAGGATCTTATTTTTTTCTAACAGAATGACAGATTAAAAAATAAATATTTTTGTGTAAAATAGTTTATATTTTTAAAAGAAAAGTAAGACTTACACCACGCATTTTAGGCAGAGGTTAACTTAATCTATGCACTTCAAGTACAATATTGTTATTTGTTAAATTTGTATTTGTATTATTATAAATAAATATTAAACTACCTATTGTTATTTGTATTAAAAAAAAAAAATGTGAGAAAATAAGTACCTCTGATGTACAAATGTACAATAAGTGTTGTCAGTATCGAGTGGATCACTATATAATCACCCGTGTTAAATTTTAATTAAATCATAAATCATTACTTACGAAAAATGATTACGAGCATAGAAGGTCAGCCTATATTACTATAAATATATCTTAAAATATTATTACAATTAATGTAATTGATTTTATTACCTATTACTATTTATTATAAAGTTATACGTAAGTACTCTGTATTACATTTTTAAATTACATCAAAATAATAAAATTAGAATTKTTATACTTCGTTTAAATATCTAATTTCGTTTTAATTTAAACTAAAAATATCTATATAAAAAAACTGAATTCATATATTTGTTATAGTTTTTGATTGCAGGCTGTAGCATTAATGAAGTATGAGAAATTTCATCTTACATTTTTAATCATGAGCTGTAAAAATTATAAGTTTTATACATATTTATTACAAAATAATTTGCACATTTTTAAATGCTATTATAAAGAATTAAAGGAAACTTGATTAAATTATCAAGCTATTTGATTCAGGGAAAAAAGTTTTTATTGACAATAACCATAAAAAAACTAAAATAAAATCGAAAACTTATCATACCTAACTATAAAAGCTTAAAAAGTGTCATATTTTAAAAATATTATCATATACAGAATATAATACATATTAATACAAAAAAATGATGTAAATTTAAAGCGTCTTTGCAGGTTATTTATTTTTGTGTTAGACCAAAAAAACAAAATTAATTTTGCGTAAAAATTTYCATTTTCAACTATTTTTTTGTTCATTCCAACAAGTAATTTAGTTCTTAATTTTGATCTATGAAATGTATCATCTAGATTCAATTTTATATTAGTAACCACTTTATAGTTAAAAATTTAAGATTTGTTCCACTACTTTTCATGTATATAGCAAAAAGGTTATTGTAAGTGATTATTATATTCATCGCTACATTTAGAATCTAAAATGTCTTTAAAAATGACAAAAAATGTATTTTTTAATGYTGTTGATTGAATATTATTTTGTCATGCAAGTTTGAAAATATCAGGAGAATAATTTTGTTTTGTTGATAATATATTTTTTATACTCCGGAAATGTTATTTGGAAATTAAATTTAAAAATACTGATTATTTTATATGATGATAATATATGTATTTTTTAATTAAGCACAACATTACATGTATTACGTAACTAGAATTAAAATTATATGCTATTATAAGTTACAAATAAAATAAGCAAAATAAATGTATCCTAAACAAAAATAGAATCAACTATATCAATAGCATTGTATGAATAAAATATAAGAATTGCTTTACCACCATTATTAATGTTCTAAAAGATTGATTATTATTTGGTATACAGTTAAATTAAATAGCAATACGTCATACACATGCTTTATGACAAAAAAACTTTTAAATTAACCTTAGTGTTTGGCTATACAGTACGTACAATTGGTACAAGCGGTTCAGTGCCCTATTGATTAGGTTAAATGCAAATCCATAAACGTGTATTATCATATTTTACAATACCTTGACAAGAATTTCCAAGTAGTTCGCATTGGTGTAAGCTACTAAAATATTCTTACACAACTTTGAGTTACCTAATAATATTTTTCATCGAAAACATTTTGTAATTTTAAATTAATTCGTTACTAATAYAAAATAAATTAAAATTTTATTTTTAAAGACGTCATCGATGTCCACACACACCTGGAACTGATAAGTCTCCACTAGATTTGGAGCCTATATCGTCTCCAAAGTTATCAAGAACTAAAGAAGAATACCAACCAATACCATTTGACCGCGTTGAAAGACCTACTTTACAGAGACTCAATACAGAACTTACTTTAAACGAAGGGAAAATTGAAAATACTACGGCCTACAGGTCGGAGTTTGAGGAAAAACATGCAGAACGTCAAGTCCGGTAATGATATTTTTAAAATAAAGTAAATAATAATATGATCCACTTCTTATTGTCTTTCATGTTTATAAATAGGTATAAAAAGGAAGACCAACTTCACCTTGAAGGTGAATATTCCCCACAGAGAAAACAAGAGTATACGGGACTTCCTGGCGATCGTTATTTATCGCGTAAGCCTAAAGATAACCTAAAACCTGAAGGTGATTTTGAAAGACCAACTCGTGAAAAAGTGACACCAGCAGAACGACCGAAACCAATAAAACCTAGTGATAATTTGA